GTGATGACCACCAGCGACACGGTCATGCGCGTCACACCGCCTGCACGCGTCACAGGGAGACACAGAGACACACAGACACGGAGACAGAGACACAGAGACAGAGAGAGACAGAGACACGGAGACACAGACACGGAGACACAGACACGGAGACACAGAGAGACAGAGACACGGAGACACAGACACGGAGACACAGAGAGACAGAGACACGGAGACACAGACACGGAGACACAGAGAGACAGAGACACGGAGACACAGACACGGAGACACAGAGAGACAGAGACACGGAGACACAGACACGGAGACACAGAGAGACAGAGACACGGAGACACAGACACGGAGACACAGAGAGACAGAGACACGGAGACACGGAGTCGTGAGTGAGTAGTGAGTGTGTGAGTGTCACAGTGAGTGAGTGTGTGAGTTAGTAGTGAGTGTCACAGTGAGTAGTGAGTGTCACAGTGAGTGTCACAGTGAGTGAGTGACACAGTGAGTGTCACAGTGAGTGACACAGTGAGTGTCACAGTGAGTGAGTGTCACAGTGACTAGTGAGTGAGTGAGTGTTACCGAGGCAGGCGGCTGCGCCCACCATGGCGTAGAGTCCCGGCGTGACGCACGTGGTGCCCGGCCGGCACCAGTCGGCGAACATCTGCGGCTGCGCCAGCACCAGCTGCTCCACGCCGACTCCCACGATGCGGCCGGCTATAGCTCCCACAGCCATGCTGGGGATAAAGAGCCCTGAGGGCACCTACACACACAGTCACACACACACACACAGTCACACACACACAGTCACACACACACACACACAGTCACACACACACACACACAGTCACACACACACACACAGTCACACACACACACACACAGTCACACACACACACAGTCACACACACACACACAGTCACACACACAGTCACACACACACACACAGTCACACACACACACAGTCACACACACACACAGTCACACACACAGTCACACACACAGTCACACACACACACACAGTCACACACACACACACAGTCACACACACACACACAGTCACACACCCACACAGTCACACACACACAGTCACACACACAGTCACACACACAGTCACACACACAGTCACACACACACACACAGTCACACACAACACACACATCACACACACACAGTCACACACACACAGTCACACACACACACAGTCACACACACACACAGTCACACACACACACACACAGTCACACACCACACACACACAGTCCACACACAGTCAACACACACACAGTCACACACACACACAGTCACACACACACACAGTCACACACACACACACACAGTCACACACACAGTGACACACACACAGTGACACACACACAGTCACACACACACACAGTCACACACACACAGTCACACACACACACACAGTCACACACACACACACAGTCACACACACAGTCACACACACACACAGTCACACACAACACAGTCACACACACAGACACACACACACACACAGTCACACACACACACACAGTCACACACACACACACACAGTCACACACACAACAGTCACACACACAGTGACACACACACACAGTGACACACACACAGTCACACACACAGTGACACACACACACAGTCACACACACACACACACACAGTCACACACACACACACAGTCACACACACACACAGTCACACAACACACAGTCACACACACAGTGACACACACACACAGTCACACACACACAGTCACACACACACACAGTCACACACACACAGTCACACACACACACACACAGTCACACACACACACACAGTCACACACACACAGTCCACACACACACAGTCACACACACACACACACAGTCACACACACACACACACAGTCACACACACACACAGTCACACACACACACAGTCACACACACACACAGTCACACACACAGTGACACACACACACAGTGACACACACACAGTCACACACCACACACAGTCACACACACACACACACAGTCACACACACACACAGTCACACACACACACACAGTCACACACACACACAGTCACACACACACACAGTCACACACACACACACAGTCACACACACACACACAGTCACACACAGTCACACACACACACACAGTCACACACACACACAGTCACACACACAGTGACACACACACACACACAGTGACACACACACAGTCACACACACAGTGACACACACACACACAGTCACACACACACAGTCATACACACACAGTGACACACACACAGTCACACTCACACAAGTGACACACACACAGTGACACACCACACAGTCACACACACACAGTCACACACACACAGTGACACACACACAGTGACACACACACAGTGACACACACACAGTGACACACACAGTCACACACACACACAGTCACACACACACACAGTCACACACACACACACACAGTCACCCACACACAGTCACACACACACAGTCCCAACAGTCACACACACAGTCACACACTACACACAGTCACACACACAGTCACACACACAGTCACACACACACACAGTCACACACACACACAGTCACACACACACAGTCACACACACACAGTCACACACACAGTCACACACACAGTCACACACACAGTCACACACACCACAGTCACACACACACACACAGTCACACACACACACACACAGCACACACACACAGTCACACAGTCACACACACACAGTCACACCACACAGTCACACACACAGTCACACACACACACACAGTCACACACACAGTCACACACACACACAGTCACACACACACAGTCACACACACACAGTCACACACACACACAGTCACACACACACACAGTCACACACACAGTCACACACACACAAGTCACACACACACAGTCACACACACACAGTCACACACACACACAGTCACACACACGTACACACACCCACAGTCACACACACACACAGTCACACACACACACAGTCACACACACACACAGTCACACACACACACAGTCACACACACACACAGTCACACACACACACAGTCACACACACACACACAGTCACACACACAGTGACACACCACACAGTCACACACACACACAGTCACACACACACACAGTCACACACACACACAGTCACACACACACACAGTCACACACACACCGTCACCACACACAGTCGACACACACACAGTGACACACACACACAGTCACACACACACACAGTCACCACACACACACACAGTCACACACACACACACAGTCACACACACACACACACAGTCACACACACACACACAACACAGTCACACACACACCACAGTCACACACACACAGTCACACACACACACAGTCACACACACACACACAGTCACACACACAGTGACACACACACAGTGACACACACACAGTCACACACACACACACAGTCACACACACACAGTCACACACACACACACACAGTCACACACACACACACACAGTCACACACACAGTCACACACACACACAGTCACACACACACACAGTCACACACACACACACAGTCACACACACACACAGTCACACACACACACAGTCACACACACAGACACACACACAGTCACACACACACACACAGTCACACACACACACACAGTCACACACACACACACACAGTCACACACACACACAGTCACACACACAGTGACACACACACACGGTGACACACACACAGTGACACACACACACAGTCACACACACACACAGTCACACACACAGTCACACACACAGTCACCACACACACACAGTCACACACACACCACACAGTCACCCACACAGTCACACACACACAGTCACACACACACAGTCACACACACACACAGCACACACACACACACAGTCACCACCACACACAGTCACACACACACACACAGTCACACACACAGTGACACACACACACAGTGACACACACACAGTCACACACACACACACAGTCACACCACACACACACAGTCACACACACACACAGACACACACAGTCACACACAGTCACAAACACAGTCACACACACACACAGTCACACACACACACACAGTCACACACACACACACAGTCACACAGTCACACACACACACAGTCACACACACAGTGACACACACACACACACAGTGACACACACACAGTCACACACACAGTGACACACACACACACACAGTCACACACACACAGTCATACACACACAGTGACACACACACAGTCACACTCACACAGTGACACACACACAGTGACACACACACAGTCACACACACACAGTCACACACACACAGTCACCCACACACAGTGACACCACACACAGTGACACACACAGTGACAACACACAGTCACACACACACCACAGTCCACACAACACACACACAGTCACACACACACACAGTCACACACACACACAGTCACACACACAGTCACACACACACACAGTCACACACACACACAGTCACACACACAGTCACACACACAGTCACACACACACACAGTCACACACACACACAGTCACACACACAGTCACACACACAGTCACACACACACAGTCACACACACACACAGTCACACACACACACAGTCACACACACACACAGTCACACACACACACAGTCACACACACAGTCACACACACAGTCACACACACAGTCACACACACCACAGTCACACACACACACAGTCACACACACACACAGTCACACACACAGTCACACACACAGTCACACACACAGTCACACACACACACAGTCACACACACACACAGTCACACACACACAGTCACACACACACACACAGTCACACACACACACAGTCACACACAGTCACACACACACAGTCACACACACACACAGTCACACACACACACACAGTCACACACACACAAGTCACACACACACACAGTCACACACACACCACACACACCACACACACCACACACACACACACCACACTACACACACACCCACACCACACACCACACACACACACACTACACACACACCACACACACACCACACACCACACACACACACACACCACACACACCACACACACCACCCCCTACACCACACACACCACACACACCACACACACCACACACACCACCCCCTACACCACACACCACACACCACACACCACACACACACACACCCCCCTGACCCCCGCACCTTCATGCCGAACGTGAACACGGTGATGACCACCTTGAAGGCGAGCGCCAGGCCCAGCTTCCAGAGCGCCGCGTAGACCCCGGGCCCGGCGGCCCCCCTCTCCGCCCCGCCCCCCGTCCCGTTCGCCCCGCCGGCGGCCGCCCCGTAGTCGCACAACTCGGCGGCCTCCAGCGGACCGCAGTCGCGGAACAGCTCGCGGATGAGCTGGCCCGTGCCGCGGCGCGTGTACGGGTTGGGGAAGGCGAGCGCGGCCGTGGCGGCCGCCACCGCCAGCACCTCCAGCGCCGGGTGCCGCCCCAGGCGCCCGGCGGGGCCGCGGCGCCGGCGCCGGCACCAGGAGATGTTGGCGCGGATGAAGGCGGCGCCCCAGACGCCCCCGAAGGCGCCCAGCGCCACGAAGGGCGCCAGCTCGGGCAGCGACCACGGCGCGTGGAACTCCACGTAGAAGAGCACCAGGCGGCTGTCGCCAAACGGGTTGATGGCGCGCAGCACGAAGGCGGCCACCAGCGCCGCGAAGAACGAGCGCCACAGCGTCTTGAGCGGGAAGTAGTAGCTCACCTGGTGAGGGTGAGGAGGGGGGGGTGAGGAGGGGAGGGAGAGTGAGTAGTAGCTCACCTGGTGAGGGGCGATGAGGAGGAGGGAGAGATGAGTCTCTGAGTGAGTCTCTGTGTGTGTCTGTGTGTGTCTCTGAGTCTCTGAGTGAGTCTCTGTGTGTGTCTGTGTGTGTCTCTGAGTCTCTGAGTGAGTCTCTGTGTGTGTCTGTGTGTGTCTCTGAGTCTCTGAGTGAGTCTCTGTGTGTGTCTGTGTGTGTCTCTGAGTCTCTGAGTGAGTCTCTGTGTGTGTCTGTGTGTGTCTCTGAGTCTCTGAGTGAGTCTCTGAGTGAGTCTCTGTGTGTGTCTGTGTGTGTCTCTGAGTCTCTGAGTGAGTCTCTGTGTGTGTCTGTGTGTGTCTCTGAGTGAGTCTCTGAGTCTCTGAGTGAGTCTCTGAGTGAGTCTCTGTGTGTGAGTCTCTCTGAGTGTGTATCTATGTGCGTATATCTATGTGCATGTATCTCTGTGTGTGTCTGAGTGTGTCTCTCTGTGTGTGTATCTCTGTGTATGTCTGTGTGTCTCTCTGTGTGACTGTGTGTGTCTCTGTGTGTCTGTGTGTGTCTGTGTGTGTCTCTGTGTGTGTCTGTGTGTGTGACTGTGTGTGTCTGTGTGTGTCTGTGTGTATGTCTGTGTGTGTCTCTGTGTGTGTCTGTGTGACTGTGTGTGTCTGTGTGTGTCTGTGTGTGTCTGTGTGTGTGTCTGTGTGTGTGTCTGAGTGTCTCTGTGTGTGTGTCTGTGTGTGTCTGTGTGTGTCTGTGTGTATGTGTGACTGTGTGTCTGAGTGTCTCTCTGTGTGTGAGTGTGTCTGTGTGTGACTGTGTGTGTCTGTGTGTGTGACTGTGTGTGTCTGTGTGTGTGTCTGTGTGTCTGTGTGTGTGTGTGTATGTGTGTGTCTGTATCTCTGTGTGTGTCTGTGTGTGTCTGTGTGTCTGTGTGTCTGTGTGTGTGACTGTGTGTGTGACTGTGTGTGTGTGTCTGTGTGACTGTGTCTCTCTGTGTGTGTGACTGTGTGTGACTGTGTGTCTGTGTGTGTGTGTCTGTGTGTGTGTGTGTGTGTGACTGTGTGTCTGTGTCTCTCTCTGTGTGTGAGTGTGTCTGTGTGTCTGTGTGACTGTCTCTCTGTGTGTGAGTGTGTCTGTGTGTGTGTGTCTGTGAGTGTGTGTCTGTGAGTGTGTCTGTGTGTGTGTCTAAGTGTGTCTGAGTGTCTCTCTGTGTGTGTCTGTGTGTGTGTCTGAGCGTGTCTCTGAGTGCGACCTCTTCGAGGCTGAAGAGGACGCCCCCAATGGGCGCTCCAAACGCCACGGAGACCCCCGCGGCAGACGCAGCGGAGAGCACCTGTCACACAGACACAGGGCCCCAGGTAGCCTCTCATCGACTGTTGGGGCAAGTGCGGAGAGCACCTGTCACACAGACACAGGACCCCCAGGTAGCCTCTCATAGACTGTTGGGGCAAGTGCGAGAGCACCTGTCACACAGACACAGGGCCCCAGGTAGCCTCTCGTCGACTGTTGGGGCAAGTGTGAGAGCACCTGTCACACAGACACAGGACCCCCAGGTAGCCTCTCATCGACTGTTGGGGCAAGTGCGGTTAGCCAGTCAAACAGACACAGCTCTCCCAGAGAGCATTAACAGTTCAATATACATACACTCACATCATTACATGCACATCATACACATCATACACAACATACACGACATCATACACACCGATCACAACATCATACACAACGTACATGGCATCATACACAACGTACACATCATACACACCGTACACATCATACACATCATACACACCGCACACAGTGTCATACACACCATACACACCTCTATGTGAGTCTGTGTCTCTGTGTCTGTGCGTGTGTCTCTGTGTGTCTCTGTGTGTCTCTGTGTGTGTGTATCTCTGTGTGTCTCTGTGTGTGTGTCCCTGTGTGTGTGTCCCTGTGTGTCCCTGTGTGTGTGTGTGTCTCTGTGTGTGTCTGTGTGTGTCTCTGTGTGTCTCTGTGTGTCTGTGTGTCTCTGTGTGTGTGTGTCTCTGTGTGTGTCTCTGTGTATCTCTGTGTGTGTGTCTCTGTGTATCTCTGTGTGTCTGTGTGTCTCTGTGTGTGTCTCTGTGTGTGTCTCTGTGTATCTCTGTGTGTGTGTGTGTCTCTGTGTCTGTGTGTGTCTCTGTGTCTGTGTGTGTCTCTGTGTGTGTGTCACCTCTCTGCGCTTGGCCTCGTTGCTGCGGTACTTGGGGAAGGCGTGGGAGGCGATGTTCCCGCAGCAACAGGCGACGTGCACCAGCGGCCCCTCCTTGCCCAGGCTGAGGCCCGACGAGACGGCGAGCACCAGCGTCACCACCTTAACCAGCAGCGTCCACTTGCCCAGGTAGCCGCGGATGATGAAGCCGCTGAGGATAGTCTTGATCTGTCAACAACAACAACAACGTCAACAACGTCAACAACAACAACAACAGCAGCGTCCACTTGCCCAGGTAGCCGCGGATGATGAAGCCACTCAGAATCGTCTTGATCTGTCAACCGCCACGACCATGATGGATAGTCAACGACAACGTCAACAACAACAACAGCAACGACGTCAACAACGATAACAACAACGAAATCAACAACGACATCAACAACAAGAACGACATCAACAACAACAACAACGTCAACAACGATAACAACAACGACATCAACAACAACAACGTCAACAACGATAACAACAACGACATCAACAACAAGAACGACATCAACAACAACGAAATAAACAACGAAATCAACAACGAAATCAACGACATCAACAACAAGAACGACATAAACAACAACAACGAAATCAACAACGAAATCAACAACGACATCAACAACAACAACGTCAACAACGAAATCAACAACGACATCAACAACAAGAACGACATCAACAACAACGACATCAACAACAACGACATCAACAACAAGAACGACACCAACAACAACAACGTTAACAACGAATTCAACAACGAAATCAACAACGACATCAACAACAACAACGATTTACACCATTGGAACTTCATTTTCCAGTAAAAAATATGATAATTGTTTTTTTACCCTTCTATCTGCCAACAAAACTGACACCTTTTGCATTATGACTGCAGGTATTGTGGTCTATGCAAACATGACTCCTTGTAAAAAAGGTGTCAGTTTTGTTGCCAGATAGAAGGGTAAAAAAACTATTATCAACGACAACGTCAACAATGATAACAACAACAACGACATCAACGACAAGAACGACAACGACAAGAACGACAACGATGTTGTTGTTGATGTTAGTTACATACAACGACGACGACGACATCAACGTCAGCAGGTCTCACTCCGAATCAGTCGGGCGCCATTGTTAACTCTCCATCGGCTGGTGGTGATGGTGATGATGGTGGTGATGTTGATGGTGATGTTGATGGTGATGATGGTGGTGATGTTGATGGTGATGTTGATGGTGATGATGGTGATGATGTTGATGATGGTGGTGGTGATGATGGTGGTGATGGTGATGATGGTGGTGATGTTGATGGTGATGTTGGTGGTGATGATGGTGGTGATGGTGATGTTGATGATGATGATGGTGGTGATGGTGGTGATGGTGGTGATGGTCGTGATGGTGGTGGTGATGGTGATGTTGGTGGTGATAGTGGTGATGTTGGTGGTGATGATGGTGGTGATGGTGGTGGTGGTGATGGTGGTGATGTTGGTGACTGTGTTGATGTTGGTGATGGTGGTGTTGGTGATGGTGGCGATGGTCGTGATGGTGGTGATGATGATGTTGATGGTGGTGATGTTGGTGGTGATGTTGATGGTGATGATGGTGGTGATGATGGTGGTGATGATGGTGGTGATGTTGATGGTGATGATGTTGATGATGTTGGTGACGGTGTAGATGACATCACCTCGGGTATGCCCGACCCACACGCGTACGGTGATGATGGTGGTGATGTTGATGACTGTGTTGATGATGTTGGTGACTGTGATGATGGTGATGTTGATGGTGTTGATGTTGGTGACTGTGTTGATGTTGATGATGATGGTGTTGATGGTGTTGGTGATGTTGGTGATGACATCACCTCGGGTATGCCCGACCCGCACGCGTACGGAGCGAACGTCCTCACGAGGCTGACGGCCGCCACGGCGAGAAGCACGGCGAGGGACACATAGAGAGTGTAGTCCAACGTGTACGCTCCAGCACCCTGCAGAGACACATAGAGAGTGTAGTCCAACGTGTACGCTCCAGCACCCTGCAGAGACACATAGAGAGTGTAGTACAACGTGTACACACAGCACCCTGCAGAGACACATAGAGAGTGTAGTCCAACGTGTACGCTCCAGCACCCTGCAGAGACACATAGAGAGTGTAGTCCAACGTGTACGCTCCAGCACCCTGCAGAGACACATAGAGAGTGTAGTACAACGTGTACACACAGCACCCTGCAGAGACACATAGAGAGTGTAGTACAACGTGTACACACAGCGCCCTGCAGAGACACATAGAGAGTGTAGTACAACGTGTACACACAGCGCCCTGCACAGAGAGACACATAGAGAGTGTAGTCCAACGTGTACGCTCCAGCGCCCTGTAGAGACACATAGAGAGTGTAGTCCAACGTGTACACACAGCGCCCTGCAGAGACACATAGAGAGTGTAGTACAACGTGTACGCACCAGCACCCTGCAGAGAGACACATAGAGAGTGTAGTACAACGTGTACACACAGCGCCCTGCAGAGACCCCCCCCCGTGTCTCTCCCCGCCCCCCCCCTCCCCCCCTCTCCCCCCCCCCGTGTCTCCCCCCCCCCCCGTGTCTCCCCCCCCCGCCCCCCCTCCCCCCCTCACCGCTGCGTCGTCCCCCAGCAGGAGCTGTGCCCAGGAGCGCCACTTGGGGCAGCTGTCTCGCTCCTCGAAGGTCGTCTCGTTCGAGTCCCAGCAGCACTGCTCGCGGTTGTACCACAGCTCGCCCACGCACACGCCCTCCTTCACGTCCGACAGCCAGTCGGACACGATGTCTATCAGCCCCGCCAGGGCGCCTGCGGGAGAGACACGGGGAGAGACGCGGAGTGAGACACGGGGAGAGGTACAGAGTGAGACACGGGGAGAGACACGGGGAGAGACACGGGGAGAGAGAGGGGGGGAGACACGGGGAGAGACACGGAGTGAGACACGGGGAGAGACACAAAGTGAGACACGGGGAGACACGGGGAGAGACACGGGGAGAGACACGGTGAGAGGTACAGAGTGAGACACGGGGAGAGATACAGAGTGAGACACGGGGAGAGACACGGGGAGAGACACGGGGAGAGACACGGTGAGAGACACGGTGAGAGAGACACGGAGAGAGACACGGAGTGAGACATGCGGGGGAGAGCCAGTCGGACACGATGTCTATCAGCCCCGCCAGGGCGCCTGGGAGACACGGGGGGGAGACACGGGGAGAGGTGGGGGAGAGACACGGGGAGAGACGTGGGGAGACACACGGGGGAGAGATACGGAGTGAGACGCGGGGGAGAGATACACAGGAGAGACACAGGGAGATACACAGGAGAGACATGCGGGGGAGACACGGAGAGACACGCAGGGGGAGAGACACGGAGAGACACACAGGAGAGACACGAGGAAGAGACGATGGAGGGGGGGTGGAGACACACGGGGAGAGAGACAGACACAAACACAGTGAGACGGAGCAACTAAAACTAACTAGAGTGGCGATGAGATGTTATTTCCCTGGGCTGCTGTATCGGTGGAGTCTGCGTCTCGCTCTCTCCCTGTGATGGTCGCGGGGAGTTTTCTCGGGGTCCTCACGTTTTCCCCTCCAAAGTTAGAATCCACGTCGCGCGTAGATCCCCACGGCGAAGACACTCCACTTGTCGCTGACCCACCAATTGTGGCCGGTGGCTTCTAAAGAACGAGCTACAGAGCTCAGCAAGGCCTCGCTTGATACAATAACTCAAGTTCGATGTAAAGCTTCTTTCGTGACTGCAGGGATTCATCTTCTTGGTTCTTTCGGTAAAGTCACGTAGAAGGGAAGTAATAAAATAATAAAAATAAAACAATAAAATAATTCTCACGACGTTTCGGCCACAACGCAAGCAGCCGTTTCTTCAGGTGACAGCTGCTTGCGTTGTGGCCGAAACGTCGTGAGAATTATTTTATTATGTTTTATTTTTATTATTTTATTACTTCCCTTCTACGTGACTTTACCGAAATAACCAAGAAGATGAATCCCTGCAGTCACGAAAGCTTTAAATCTAAATGTATTTTATTATGTTTTATTTTTATTATTTTATTACTTCCCTTCTACGTGATGACTTTACCGAAAGAACCAAGAAAATAACTCAAGTTAGTTAGTGAATAACAAGCCACGAGTTGAGTTCAATGAGCCACCACCACCACCCCAATTCCTGTCCTCCCGTTGATGGGGAGGCGAGCCCACAGCAGCCTGGGACTCACAGCTTCCCCGACCTCCACCGCCTCGTTCCTGTGGCTCAAAGGAAGAGCCACTCCCTGCCGACTGGCAGATCCCTGCCCCGAGTGGAGGACTGTCCACCCCTCATGGTGGCTGGGGCCAGAACCGGTCCACCGGACCTCCTGAAGAGTGGGTCATGAAGCAAACACGTGGGCTGGACTGACTGGAGGGCATGGGCCAGATCAGCTGAATAAGTCTGTACACTTTGTACTTAGTGTTGACCTTCTGTCGCACCGTACGGAGCCAGCCGTGCCGCGAATCGGAGGTGCGGGGAACGGAAGATAAACTAAAGACAACAACCACAAGCACCACAAGCAGCAGTTGTGAAGACGTGAGGTGGACGCATCAAGGGCCACTCAGGGATTAAAGTCACCCAAGAGGATGACTCTATCCCGAGGGGCCACAGTGGGGCAGTCACAGTGGGTCAGTGACAGTCAGACAGTGACAGTCACACACAGTGGGTGAGTCACAGTCAGACAGTGACAGTCTATACACAGTGGGTGAGTGACAGTCACACACAGTGACAGTCACACACAGTGACAGTCACACACAGTGACAGTCACACACAGTGGGTCAGTGACAGTCACACACAGTGACAGTCACACACAGTGACAGTCACACACAGTGACAGTCACACACAGTGACAGTCACACACAGTGGGTGAGTCACAGTCAGACAGTGACAGTCTATACACAGTGGGTGAGTGACAGTCACACACAGTGACAGTCACACACAGTGACAGTCACACACAGTGACAGTCACACACAGTGGGTCAGTGACAGTCACACACAGTGACAGTCACACACAGTGACAGTCACACACAGTGACAGTCACACACAGTGACAGTCACACACAGTGACAGTCACACACAGTGACAGTCACACACAGTGACAGTCACACACAGTGACAGTCACACACAGTGGGTCAGTGACAGTCACACACAGTGACAGTCACACACAGTGACAGTCACACACAGTGACAGTCACACACAGTGACAGTCACACACAGTGACAGTCACACACAGTGACAGTCACACACAGTGACAGTCACACACAGTGGGTCAGTGACAGTCACACACAGTGACAGTCACACACAGTGACAGTCACACACAGTGACAGTCACACACAGTGACAGTCACACACAGTGGGTGAGTGACAGTCACACACAGTGTGAGAGTGACAGTCACACACAGTGTGAGAGTGACAGGCGGAGTGTGGCGGGTTACCAGCGGAGATCCCCACGAGGGTGACGACGAGCCAGCCCGACCACGCGTCAAAAACACTCGTCACGAAGCTCCACACCGACTCACGCCTTCTGCTTGTGATCTACACACACAGACAGTCACACACACAGACACACAGTCACACACACAGTCACACACACAGAGACACACACAGTCACATACACAGTCATACAGAGTCACACACAGTCACACACAGAGACACACACAGACAGTCACACACACACAGAGACACACACACAGTCACACACACACAGACATACACACAGTCACACACACAGAGTCACACACAGACACGCAGACACATACAGTCACACAGACAGACACACACAGTCACGCACACAGAGTCACACACACAGACACGCAGACAGACACACACACAGAGACACACACAGAGACACACACAGACACGCAGACACACACACACACACAGCACAATTTTCACACACAGCACACGTCACACACACAGCACACGATTCTGTGATAGACTGTGAGTGATGGTGGATTGCGAGTGAGTGGCACATTGCAAGCAAGGAGGGGTGGCATTGCGAGTGAGCGAGTGCGAGCGACGAATTGCAAGCAAAGGAAAGGAGATTTCGACTGAGTGTGAGAGATTGCAAGCGAGCTGGGAGGGGAGATTGCGAGCGGGGGATTACGAGTGGGCAAAAGAGATTTCAAATGAGTGTGAGAGATTGTGAGCAAGGAGGAGGGATTGCGAGCGAGAGATTGTGAGGCTGCTGCTTGTTGTTGTAGTAGTTGTTGTAGTAGTTGTTGTTGTAGTAGTTGTTGTTGTTGACCACCTTGCGGTGTCGCTCGCGGTCGCGCGACTTCTCGCGCACCCAGTCGATGGTGTTGAAGTCGGCGTAGGTGCCCACGCCGGGGATCGCCGCCGCCTCCTCCAGCAGGCCCGGCGGGCCCACACCGAAGCCCGACACGCACGGGCCTGGGGGAGACACCACGCGGAGACACCACGCAGAGACACGCAGACACCACGCAGAGACACAGAGACACCACGCGGAGACACCACGCAGAGACACGCAGACACCACGCAGAGACACAGAGACACCACGCAGAGACAGAGAGACACCACGCAGAGACAGAGACACCACGCAGAGACAGAGACACCACGCGGAGACACCACGCAGAGACACACAGACACCACGCAGAGACACAGAGACACCACGCGGAGACACCACGCAGAGACACGCAGACACCACGCAGAGACACAGAGACACCACGCAGAGACAGAGAGACACCACGCAGAGACAGAGACACCACGCAGAGACAGAGACACCACGCAGAGACAGAGACACCACGCGGAGACACCACGCAGAGACACACAGACACCACGCAGAGACACAGAGACACCACGCGGAGACACCACGCAGAGACACGCAGACACCACGCAGAGACACAGAGACACCACGCAGAGACAGAGAGACACCACGCAGAGACAGAGACACCACGCAGAGACAGAGACACCACGCAGAGACAGAGACACCACGCGGAGACACCACGCAGAGACACACAGACACCACGCAGAGACACAGAGACACCACGCAGAGACAGAGAGACACCACGCAGAGACAGAGACACCACGCGGAGACACCACGCAGAGACACGCAGACACCACGCAGAGACACAGAGACACCACGCAGAGACACAGAGACACCACGCGGAGACACCTTGCAGAGACACGCAGACACCACGCAGAGACACCACGCAGAGACACACAGACACAGAGACACACACAGAGACACACACAGAGACACCACGCAGAGACACCACGCAGAGACACAGAGACACCACGCAGAGACACAGAGACACCACGCGGAGACAGAGACACACACACACAGAGACACAGAGACACACAGAGACACACACACAGAGAGACACAGAGACACCACGCGGAGACAGAGACACACACACAGAGACACACACACAGAGACACAGAGACACACACACAGAGAGACACAGAGACACGCAGAGACACAGAGACACACACAGAGACACGCAGAGACACGCAGAGACACAGAGACACACACAGACACACGGTGAGTCACAGAGACACAGAGACACACACAGAGACACACGGAGACACAGAGACACACACACAGAGAGACACAGAGACACGCAGAGACACAGAGACACACACAGAGACACGCAGAGACACAAAGACACCACACAGACACACGGTGAGACACCGCCCATTACCCCCACCACCACCCCCACCACCACCCCCACCACCACCACCACCACCCCCACCCCCCCCATCACCACCACCACCCCCATCACCACCCCCCCATCACCACCCCCACCACCACCACCCCCACCACCACCACCACCACCCCCATCACCACCCCCCCATCACCACCCCCACCACCACCACCCCCACCACCACCACCACCACCCCCATCACCACCCCCCCATCACCACCCCCACCACCACCACCACCCCCACCACCACCACCACCCCCATCACTACCCCCACCACCACCCCCACCACCACCACCACCCCCATCACCACCCCCACCACTACCCCCATCACCACCCCCACCACCACCGCCACCCTCATCACCACCCCCACCACCACCCCCACCACTACCCCCACCACCACCCCCATCACCACCCCCACCACTACCCCCATCACCACCCCCACCACCACCGCCACCCTCATCACCACCCCCACCACTACCCCCACCACTACCCCCACCACCACCCCCATCACCACCCCCACCACTACCCCCCACCACCACCCCCACCCCCATCACCACCACCCCCATCACTACCCCCACCACTACCCCCACCACTACCCCCACCACCACCCCCACCACCACCCCCACCACCCCCACCACCACCCCCATCACTACCCCCACCACTACCCCCATCACCACCCCCACCACCACCCCCACCACTACCCCCATCACCACCCCCATCACTACCCCCATCACCACCCCCACCACTACCCCCACCACCACCCCCATCACTACCCCCATCACCACCCCCACCCCACCCCACCACCACCCCCATCACCACCCCCACCACCACCCCATCACCACCCCCACCACCACCCCCACCACTACCCCCACCACCACCCCCATCACCACCACCCCCACCACTACCCCCCATCACCACCCCCACCACCACCCCACCACTACCCCCACCACCACCCCCATCACTACCCCCATCACCACCCCCACCACTACCCCCCCACCACCACCCCCATCACACCACCCCATCACTACCCCCACCACTACCCCCCCACCACCCCCACCACTACCCCCATCACCACCACCACCCCCACCACCCCCACCACCACCCCCATCACCACCCCCACCACTACCCCCATCACCACCCCCACCACCACCCCCATCACTACCCCCATCACCACCCCCATCACCACCCCCCACCACTACCCCCACCACCACCCCCACCACCACCCCATCACCACCCCCACCACTACCCCCATCACCACTCCCATCACCACCCCCATCACTACCCCCCCATCACCACTCCCATCACCACCCCATCACCACCCCCACCACTACCCCCATCACCATCCCCACCACCCCCATCACCACCACCCCCATCACTACCCCCACCACTACCCCCACCACCACCCCCATCACCACCCCCACCACTACCCCATCACCACCCCCACCACCACCCCATCCCCATCACCACCCCCACCACTACCCCCACCACTACCCCCATCACCACCCCCATCACCACCCCATCACCACCCCCACCACCACCCCCACCACTACCCCCATCACCACCCCCATCACCACCCCATCACCACCCCTATCACTACACCACCACTACCCCCATCACCACCCCCACCACCACCCCCTATTACTACCCCCACCACTACCCCCATCACCACCCCCACCACTACCCCCCATCACCACCCCCATCACCACACCCACCACTACCCCCATCACCACCCCCATCACCACCCCCACCACTACCCCCATCACCACCCCCATCACCACCCCATCACCACACCCACCACTACCCCCATCACCACCCCCACCACTACCCCCACCACTACCCCCACCACTACCCCCATCACCACCCCCATCACCACCCCATCACCACCCCCATCACCACCCCCACCCCCTATTACTACCCCCACCACTACCCCCATCACCACCCCCACCACCACCCCCTATTAATACCCCCACCACTACCCCCATCACTACCCTTCTCACCCAACCACCCACCCACCCACGCACTCACCCACCCACCCACCCACTCACCCACCCACTCACCCACCCACCCACTCACCCACCCACTCACCCACCCACCCACCCACTCACCCACCCACTCACCCACCCACCCACTCACCCACCCACTCACCCACCCACCCACCCACCCACTCACCCACCCACCCACCCACCCACTCACCCACCCACCCACCCACTCACCCACCCACCCACCCACTCACCCACCCACCCACCCACCCACTCACCCACCCACCCACCCACTCACCCACCCACCCACTCACCCACCCACCCACCCACTCACCCACCCACCCCACCCACTCACCCACCCACCCACCCACTCACTCACCCACCCACCCACCCACGCTGCTCTCACCATTGGTGACCCCTCCATCGATGATCTCGTCGTCGTCGTTCTCCGTGCTGCTGAACGAGACGACGGCGCCGGCCACGTCGATCAGCTCTTCGTCGCTGCTCACCCCCCGCTCCACCCCCCGCTCCACCCCCCGCTCCACCCCCCGCTCCACCCCGTCCACCGGCTCGGCACGGACACCCACGCGGCCACTCATCGCCACGCTCTCTCACCACGCCGCCATTCACCTGTGGATCAAGAAGCCATCATCACCACCATCATCATCATCACCACCATCATCACCACCATCACCATCATCACCACCATCACCACCACCATCACCACCACCACCACCACCATCACCACCATCACCACCACCATCACCACCACCATCACCACCACCACCACCACCATCACCACCACCACCACCATCACCACCACCATCACCACCACCATCACCATCACCGCCATCATCACCACCATCACCATCACCACCATCACCACCACTACCATCATCACCACCACCATCACCACCACCACCACCATCACCATCACCACCACCATCACCACCACCATCACCACCACCACCATCACCACCACCATCACCATCACCACCACCATCATCACCACCATTACCACCACCACCATCACCACCACCATCACCACCACCATCACCACCACCATCACCACCACCACCACCACCATCATCACCATCATCATCACCACCATCACCACCATCACCACCATCACCACCATCAGCACCACCATCATCATCATCATCACCATCATCACCACCACCACCATCATCACCACCACCATCATCACCATCATCACCACCATCATCATCATCATCACCACCACCATCACCACCATCACCACCATCACCATCACCACCACCACCATCATCACCACCACCACCATCACCACCACCACCACCATCACCACCACCACCACCACCATCACCACCACCACCATCATCATCATCACCACCACCACCATCACCACCACCATCACCACCACCATCATCACCACCATCACCACCACCACTATCACCATCACCACCACCACCACCACCATCATCACCACCACCACCATCACCACCACCACCATCACCACCATCACCACCACCATCATCATCATCACCACCACCATCACCACTTAATCACCACCACCACCACTGTGACACCACCACCACCACCACTGACACCACCACCACTGACACCACCACCATCATCACCTAGTCACTCCACCATGTCTCAAGCAGCAGCAGCAGCAGCAGTGACACCATCACCAACATTGTTGAAACACCATCAGCATCACTATTGAGACATCACCATCACTGACACACCACCACTGACACACCGTCACTGACACACCATCATCACCATCACTGAGACACCATCACCATTGAAACACCATCATCACCATCACTGAGACACCATCACCATTGAAACACCATCATCACCATCACTGAGAAACCATCACCATTGAAACACCATCATCACCATCACTGAGACACCATCACCATTGAAACACCATCATCACCATCACCATTGAAACACCATCATCACCATCACTGAGACATCACCACCACTGACACACCATCACTGACACAACATCACTGAGAAACCATCACCATTGAAACACCATCATCACCACCACTGAGACATCATCACCATTGAAACACCATCACCATTGAAACACCATCATCACCATCACTGAGAAACCATCACCACTGAAACACCATCATCACCATCACTGACACACCACCACCACTGCAGTGTCACGGTCTGCTGTGTAGTACCTGGCCCTGGTGATGGTGATGATGTTGGAGGTGGTGGTTCTGGTGATGTTGGTGGTGATAATGTTGATGGTATTGGTGGTGATGTTGGTGATGGTATTGGTGGTATTGGTGATGATGTTGGAGGTGGTGGTATTGGTGATGATGTTGGTGATGGTAGTGGTGTTGTGGTGGTGATGGTATTGGTGGTGTTGGTGGTGTTGGTGGTGTTGATGGTATTGGTGGTGGTGTTGGAGGTGATGTTGGTGATGATGGTAGTGATGGTATTGGTGATGTTGATGATGTTGGTGATGGTAGTGGTGGTATTGGTATTGGTGATGATGTTGGAGGTGGTGGTGATGATGATGTTGGAGGTGATGATGTTGATGGTATTGGTGGTATATTGGTGATGATGTTGATGGTAGTGGTGTTATTGTTGATGGTATTGGTGGTATATTGGTGATGATGTTGGTGGTGGTAGTGATGTTGGTAGTGATGTTGGTGGTGGTGTTGGTGGTGGTAGTGATGGTATTGTTGATGGTAGTGGTGGTATATTGGTATTGGTGATGTTGATGGTGATGATGTTGGTGGTGGTATTGGTGATGGTAGTGATGGTATTGGTGATGATGTTGATGGTATATTGGTATTGGTAATGTTGATGGTGATGATGTTGATGGTGATGATGTTGGTGGTGATGATGTTGATGATGGTAGTGATGGTATTGGTGATGTTGATGGTGATGATGTTGGTGTTGGTGATGTTGATGGTGATGATGTTGGTGGTGATGATGTTGATGATGGTAGTGATGGTATTGGTGATGTTGATGGTGATGATGTTGATGGTGATGATGTTGGTGTTGGTAGTGATGGTATTGGTGATGATGTTGATGGTGATGATGTTGATGGTGATGATGTTGGTGTTGGTAGTGATGGTATTGGTGATGTTGATGGTGATGATGTTGATGGTGATGATGTTGGTGTTGGTAGTGATGGTATTGGTGATGATGTTGATGGTGATGATGTTGATGGTGATGATGTTGATGTTGATGGTGATGATGTTGGTGTTGGTAGTGATGGTATTGGTGATGTTGATGGTGATGATGTTGGTGGTGGTAGTGATGGTATTGGTGATGTTGATGGTGATGATGTTGGTGGTGGTGATGTTGGTGTTGGTATTGGTGATGATGTTGATGGTGGTAGTGATGGTATTGGTGATGGTAGTGATGGTATTGGTGATGATGTGATGGTGGTAGTGATGGTATTGGTGATGGTAGTGATGGTATTGGTGATGATGTTGATGGTGATGATGTTGATGGTGATGATGTTGGTGTTGGTAGTGATGGTATTGGTGATGTTGATGGTGATGATGTTGATGATGGTAGTGATGGTATTGATGATGTTGATGGTGATGTTGATGGTGATGATGTTGATGGTGATGATGTTGATGATGGTAGTGATGGTATTGATGATGTTGATGGTGATGTTGGTGATGTTGGTGTTGATGGTGATGTTGGTGTTGATGGTGATGTTGGTGTTGATGGTGATGTTGGTGTTGATGGTGATGATGTTGATGGTGATGATGTTGGTGTTGATGGTGATGATGTTGATGATGATGATGTTGGTGTTGATGGTGATGATGTTGGTGTTGATGGTGATGATGTTGATGGTGATGATGTTGGTATTGATGGTGATGATGTTGGTGTTGATGGTGATGATGTTGATGGTGATGATGTTGGTGTTGATGGTGATGATGTTGGTGTTGGTGCTGTTGGTGTTACCGATTGCGTTCCCTCTTCCTCCTATCGGCGGTCACGTGACTTCCCCCGGCACGGCCCCACGTGACTCCTCGTGATTCGATTCCTCTTTTTCGACTTCTCGTGATTCGATTCCTCAGCACGAGTTTCCTCTTGAATCGATTCCCAAGTTCGGATTCCTCCTTAATCGATTTCTCTTCATCGGAATCCTCTTTATTAAACCCCCCACAATTCGGCCACTATCATATCGATTCCTGTCAATTGATTCCCCTTCACACGACTCCTCTCCATTAGGATCACATTCGATTCCTCTATCGACTGCTGCCTTCGTATTGATTTACGTTGAAGAAATCGAATCGAAGTCACGTGATCTCGTCATTAATTATTCATGAGCGGTCTCGTGACCGCACGCCCCCCCAGTCAGAGCTCGCTCCTGATTGGTTCCCTCGCGGTGGGGGGGGGGGGGGGCAGCGTTCGGAAACTCCACTTTCGCTGCGAGGCAGTTTTCATTTCGCTGTGTCACGTGGGTCGGCGCCGATTCACGCGGGTTCGAGGATGAATTGTCTCAGATGGCAAAATTGTGACAACAGATTTCGATGCAAAACTTCTTTCGTGACTGCAGGGATTCATCTTCTTGGTTCTATCGGTAAAGTCATCACGTAGAAGGGAAATAATGAAATAATAAAAAATAAAACAAAATAAAATGTTATTTCATTATGTTATTAAGTAGAAGGGAAATAATAAAATAATAAAAAATAAAACATAATAAGATAATATAATAAAATAAACTAATATAATATAATAAAATACTAAATTAAAATTATATGATTATAATATAATGAAATAGTAAAATAATATGATAATATAATATTATTATATTTCGATTTAAAGCTTTCGTGACTGCAGGGATTCATCTTCTTGGTTCTTTCGGTAAAGTCACGTAGAAGGGAAATAATAAAATAATAAAAATAAAACATAATAAAATTATATAATAAAATAATATTATATAATAATATGGGCAGTGTTGAGTCTATGGGCAGTGTTGAGTCTATGGGCAGTGTTGAGTCTATGGGCAGTGTTGAGTGTATGGGCAGTGTTGAGTCTATGGGCAGTGTTGAGTCTATGGGCAGTGTTAGTCTATGGGCAGTGTTGAGTCTATGGGGCAGTGTTGAGTCTATGGGGCAGTGTTGAGTCTATGGGTAGTGTTGAGTCTATGGGCAGTGTTGAGTCTATGGGCAGTGTTGAGTCTATGGGCAGTGTTGAGTCTATGGGCAGTGTTGAGTCTATGGGCAGTGTTAGTCTATGGGCAGTGTTGAGTCTATGGGGCAGTGTTGAGTCTATGGGCAGTGTTGAGTCTATGGGGCAGTGTTGAGTCTATGGGCAGTGTTGAGTCTATGGGCAGTGTTGAGTCTATGGGCAGTGTTGAGTCTATGGGCAGTGTTGAGTCTATGGGCAGTGTTAGTCTATGGGCAGTGTTGAGTCTATGGGGCAGTGTTGAGTCTATGGGCAGTGTTGAGTCTATGGGGCAGTGTTGAGTCTATGGGCAGTGTTGAGTCTATGGGCAGTGTTGAGTCTATGGGCAGTGTTGAGTCTATGGGCAGTGTTGAGTCTATGGGCAGTGTTGAGTGTATGGGCAGTGTGAGTCTATGAGCAGTATTGAGTCTATGGACAGTGTTGAGTGTATGGGGCAGTGTTGAGTCTATGGGGCAGTGTTGAGTCTATGGGCAGTGTTGAGTCTATGGGGCAGTGTTGAGTCTATGGGCAGTGTTGAGTCTATGGGGCAGTGTTGAGTCTATGGGCAGTGTTGAGTCTATGGGCAGTGTTGAGTCTATGGGCAGTGTTGAGTCTATGGTGCAGTATAGAGTCTATGGGTAGTGTTGAGTCTATGGGCAGTGTTGAGTCTATGGGCAGTGTTAGTCTATGGGCAGTGTTGAGTCTATGGTGCAGTGTTGAGTCTATGGGCAGTGTTAGTCTATGGGCAATGTTAGTCTATGGGCAGTGTTGAGTCTATGGGCAGTGTTAGTCTATGGTGCAGTGTTGAGTCTATGGGCAGTGTTGAGTCTTTGGGCAGTGTTAGTCTATGGTGCAGTGTTGAGTCTATGGGCAGTGTTAGTCTATGGGCAGTGTTGAGTCTATGGTGCAGTGTTGAGTCTATGGGCAGTGTTGAGTCTTTGGGCAGTGTTAGTCTATGGGCAGTGTTGAGTCTATGGGCAGTGCTGAGTGTATGGTGCAGTGTTTAGTCTATGGGCAGTGTGAGTCTATGAGCAGTTTTGAGTCTATGGACAGCGTTAGTCTATAGTCAGTGATATAGTCTATGGGCAGTGTTGAGTCTATGGCAGTGTTGAGTCTGTGGGTGGCAGTGTTGAGTCTATGGGTAGTGTTGAGTCTGTGGACAGTGTTGAGTCTATGGACAGTGTTGAGTGTATGGGCAGTGTTGAGTCTATGGGTGGCAGTGTTGAGTCTATGGGCAGTGTTGAGTCTATGGACAGTGTTGAGTGTATGGACAGTGTTGAGTGTATGGGCAGTGTTGAGTCTATGGTGCAGTGTTGAGTCTATGGGCAGTGTTGAGTGTATGGTGCAGTGTTTAGTCTATGGGCAGTGTTGAATCTGTGGGCAGTGTTGAGTCCAAGGACTGGTAACCCCTCCACATTCAATTTAATTACCACAAGAATACGTGGAAAATATTGAACTAATCTTGTGTCAGAGGCCCCGGGGGGACAGGCGTCTATGACATCTCCTAGCTAAACCCTATTTGGCGGAGCCAGGAAACTGAACCCGTACCCACAGGGCTCCTCCAGAAACGGCAAAGATACGCACTGCGCGTGGCCACGTGGAATGTTTCAATGTTCACTGCGGAAGAGACGCTGCCACTCCTCTGTCAGAAGCTGGCCTGGTACCGCCTGGATCTCTGTGGCATTCAGGAGGTCCAGTGGACAGGTTCTGGCCCCAGTCACCATGAGGGGTGGACAGTCCTCTACTCAGGGCAGGAGACTGTTAAACAACAGGGAGTGGCTCTTCTTCTGAACAAAAGAATTAAGGGGGTATGGGAGCGTGACAGTGAGGTGTGGGAAGCTGTGCGTCCTAGGCTACTGTGGGCTCGCCTTCCCATCAACAAGAGGCAAGGAAAGATGGTGATGGTGGTTGGTTACACCCCCATCAAAGATGAACATCAGTGGAGGGATGCAGACAAGGCCAATGAATCAGATGCCTTCTACGACCTCCTGTCACAGGTGCTAGCTAAAGTGGCCCCTCGAGATAGAGTCATCCTGTTGGGTGACTTCAATGCCAGAGTCGGTCATGGCACTGGCACCTGGTCTGGAGTGATTGGAAGGCATGGGCCAGATCAGCTCACTAACAACGGTAGGAGGCTGCTAGATGTTTGTGCAACCCATGGGCTTGTAATTACCAA